AGACTGCATGTAGAGAACAGACTGCATGTAGAGAACAGTCTGGATGTAGAGAACATTCTGGATGTAGAGAACAGTCTGGGATCAGCTGTTTTTCACACTGAGCTATTGGAGCTCATCAAGGCAGCTCAGGTGTCTGGATGAAAACAAAAAAAACTAAGTCAGTCTGACTATAATTTCTAGATCCAATTCATTGAGTTTAAATGTGATTATAAAGGAGTTACTCAGAGGAGCTCCAGGTTTAAAAATACAGGTTTATATCAAGATTTTTTTATTTTGATTCCTTACTAACTTCCAGATAACATATTTATGCTGTTTTTTTATTTTAGATGTAAAGCATAAAATACCTAAGAATTAAATGCTAAAATTAAAGTAATTAAAGTGAAATTGTTTCTATTTTATAACCAGTTATTGTACGTTTCATTTTGGACAATTATCAATAATAAAAAAAAAAAAAGTGGTAAAGGCTGCTTTAAAGGACGGAGGTTGGTCTGTCGGTTCTGGACCAAACATAAAGGAACCTTGGTGTCTAACTCAGCTTCTGGTTGGTTGGTTCTGGAACGATGCTCTCAATGAGAACCCAGGACTGTTCCTCCATGTTCTCCCTCTGCTCTCACTGATGGTCTCCTTTTCTCTTTGCCCTCCAGCTGTCCATCCTGTCAGAGGTGTCACATGGCCAAGGAGGCGAGAGGCCGGGCTTCCTGGTTCCGGCCCAATCAGGGGCGGAGAATTTCCACCTCAAACTGGCTCCTCCTCCTCTGTTTGAAGAGTAGCTCCATGATGGATTCCCCCACGGTCCTCCAGAACCTTCCTACCCAGGAGGAAGGATCCATCAGTGGAGCTGCTTCTTGGATCAGCTGTGACCCAGCAGGAGAAGCTCCTGCTCCAACCAACTTATGTATAAACAGAAGTGGACCGGTCCAGACCCCATGTGTTCATAAGAAGGTGGCGCTGCTCCTCATGTTCAGCCATCTCCATGGGGCGTTTCTAGCACTACACATAGTTCTGGTTGGTACCCAAGATTAAATCGGCTGTTCAGCTGGGCCTGGTACCAGTCCAGAACCACTGATCTGTTTGTGGTTTTCTAATAAAACAGTGTTCAGCATTTCATTTGCTTGCTGACAGTTTTTTACTGGAAGAATCAGACGTTTAACCAGAACGGATCATCTCCACAGATCAGAGAACAACAACCTGCTTTGTTCCCATCATGAACTCCTGCTTTAGTTGGATCTGTGTGACAGAACCAAAAGTTTGGACCATGTCCGGGTTTGTTTTCATTCAGAGAACGGTGAAACCTCGTGCTGGGCTCCAAACGGCTTCATTATTTTCATAAAGGCTGTTTTCTTTTCCGGGTTTCTGCTGAGCTTTTAATACTTTCAGCTTTTCAGCGTTCCTCAAAGTTCCCATTCCAGTAGTCAGCGTGGATCATCTCCCAAAGGCTTCCTACTAGGATTTCTGTTGGCATCATAAAGCTAGGATCTCCTATGGAAACACTTTTGTTCCAATATTATCAAAAGCAACGAAAGGCATTAAAAATGTTTAC